CTGATTTTTCCAAAGTTAGAGAAGATCTCTAGTCAGAGATTCATATTTTTCAAGTTTATGTCTATGATTTGCATAAAATAAGCATAATAATTAGCATGTTGCTTAGAAAAATTCAACAAAATTTTGAAAGGTTTTCTGTGACCAGAGAACTCTTTGAAAAATTTTTCATGAACTAAGTCATTAAGAACACACTTAACTCTCAAAAAATCTCAAAACAAAAAGAAAATTAATTTGAGAAATGTAAACATCTAAATGACTTGGTTTTTAATCTCAACTGTAATTTGAAGTTCAGAAAACTTCCCATAAAAATTTCAAAATATTTGGAGTTCATTTGATAACTCAAATTGATTTTTTTAAGTTAAATACTATTTTGACATTAAAATGATTTTTAATAATTAAAATGCAACTCAAAAAATTATAAAAATTGGTTTTGGGAGTTCTCTGTAATCAGAGGGATTTTCTAAAAATAAAATTGTAAATAAAATACAAGTTTATGTCTATGATTTGCATAAAATAAGCATAATAATTAGCATGTTGCTTAGAAAAATTCAAGAAAATTTTGAAAGGTTTTCTGTGACCAGAGAACTCTTTGAAAAATTTTTCATGAACTAAGTCATTAAGAACACACTTAACTCTCAAAAAATCTCAAAACAAAAAGAAAATTAATTTGAGAAATGTAAACATCGAAATGACTTGGTTTTTAATCTCGCTCAACTGTAATTTGAAGTTCAGAGAACTCCCCATAAAAATTTCAAAATATTTGAAGCTCATTTGATAACTCAAATTGATTTTTTAAGTTAAATACCATTTTGACATTAAAATTGTTTTTTAATAATTAAAATGCAACTCAAAAAGTTATAAAAATTGGTTTTGGGAGTTCTCTGTAATCAGAGGGATTTTCTAAAAATAAAATTGTAAATAAAATAAAAATTTTATTTTTTTAAGTTTATTTTAATATTTAAATAATTAAAAATTGAATAAAAATTACAAAATTAATAAAATTCATGGAAATGTTCTAAATTGTTTTCTAAGTATTTAGGAGCAATTGAAATATTTTTTTCCCAATTTTTCAAGTGAAGATATTAAATTTTAGTTTAAAAATAATTTTTAAAAGACTAAAAAATGGATTTTCACTTAAATAATTCTAATAATTCAAAGAAAAATCAGAAAAATGTGAAATTTGTTTCAATGGGTTCTTTAACCTCAAAGAGATTTAATAAAAATATTAAACTTAATTTTTCACTTTTAAAATATTTTATAATTAATTAACACTCCAGTAAAAATTTCATGGGATTAGGCTTTGCCTTTTTGCTTTGGTCTAGTTATGAAATTTTCTTTGAAAAATCCTATTCTTGCATAAAAATAAATATGTAAATTAAATTAAAATTTGAAAATTCACATTTTCTCTTTTGATGTCTTAATTGACCCATGAGTGAGGTGGGATGCAAATTACAAAGTCAATTGAATTAAATTTGATGAATTATGAAGTATTAGAGCCGTAGGGGCAAAAATATAATTTTGGAAATTTAGCCTTAATTACTATTTAGGCTTAACTCAAGAAAGGGAAATGGGCAATATTTTTTATCCTTATTAACATATTTGGATGACTGAAACACAAGGGATTAATTGGTAAAAACCAATCACATTTTTTCTAATTAAAGGATAAATTTGTAATTTCTTAAATTATTAACATTTGGAAGTCTAGTAAATTAAATGATCCTAGACTTAGGGGTATGATTTTGGGTGTTAATAACTCATTAATTTAATACCCCTATTTGATGTTCAAGTGACATTCAAATGTTTTTATGATGAATTATTATCATTTAAAATTTAATCTCTTTTAAAATAATTAAGACATCCACCAAGGTCTTAAGGGCTTAGTAGTGACCTAACCTAGATCAAATTTGGTTAAATGGGATTAGAAAAGTAAATATAACTGGAAATTAAACACTATAAGACCAAGTTAAAACTGAAATTAACTAAATGTCTTAATAACACTAACTTGTCTCTTTTAAGGGTCTTCACCCACATAATTTTCAAATTGAGTGATAAATGATAATTATCCTACTCTTAGGGATAATTGAAATACCAATGTTCATTGAGCATTGGAGATATTTACAAGATGAATTATTAAATAATGTAATAAGTGTAAATGAGCTTGAGGCTTTTCACCAGGCGGTAAGAGGGAAGCATGAACCTGCTTCTTTCTCCAGACCTATTGGATATCTCGGAGGTCTACTAAACTTAATATGTTTTGCTTAACAAAAATCATCGTTAATAAAACTAATAGGGACCCACCAAGATATGATTTAGGATTTGGTAGATCACCAGAACCTTATTTTTCCCACTTTACATAAAATGTTCTTACATGTATTTTAAGTTTCAGGTGGTAGAACAAGAAGACTCATCAGGTACGCTTTTACAGTTTACAGTATCGTCTTTTTCTATACTTTCCACACTGTACTCTTATGATTACAAAACTTGCATGTTAAATAACGATGTCACCCCGCATGAAAATTAAAACTGGTAGGATAGCCGTAAAACCAAAACCAAAACTAAAATCAACTAAGATAAAATTCACCGCTACAACATTCAAAATATAAAATAATTGAAAATTTAATCACAACCATCACAAAATTTAATCACAAACATCACACAAAATAACAATTATCTTGCAACTAAATTAAAAAATCTCTATCGAATAATTGGGAATCCCTCGGAGGAGGTAACCTACGATTGCTAACGAGATTTTTCATGGTCTAAATGAAAGTATGAAACTTATTAAGTTGAGTTTAGTAAATTCATTTGGACTAAGTGAATTCGATAGAAAATAGTGCTACCGAAATGAGGGAACCGTAGGATCCTAATCGGTGTCGCTCTAATCAACTTTAACATACCCCAATAAATTTTTAAATAACTGCAATCATAGATTCGTATAGGGTCACTTGATTTGACATCATAACTTGACACACTATAAAACTCAAATTCGTCACGGCAAGATGGTGGCCAGCACGATCATCATCAACAACAAAACATGTCTTCTCCAGCTAAACCAATCATTCCTTAGAATTAACAATAAGCCATAAGATTATAAGGTCGTTTGCTTATGCAACATAGATCCTCACCTTATCTTTAAGTCTTTGTACAGCTTTGCTGTACAATTTAAGCCCTAAATCGTCTTAGAATTTTGAGGTTGTCATTCGTCACGATCTAAAACCTTACATCTTCCAGGCTATTTGTGCTACCGTATCACATAAATGTAAGCCTTTACTAATAAAATTGACAAGATGTAACATTTAAATAATTCTCCCTGAAATTGAAGCTCAACCATAGGATAGTTAGGAAGTCACCGAGATTCTCCTCAAGAGCTATGACATCTTCTAGTTCTTCTCCTTTTGGATTTCAAAAGTTCCAAATTTGAATCATTCCCCTTTCACACCTCTTTGTCCAATCTCGTTGAAATGTCCTATCCTTTTGACATATTTGAAGGTAAAATTTCCTGATTTTTATCGAGAGTTTTCTTAGGTGACTTCGGTCATTTAAGATGTAATTAACTAGAAGAGCTTTCCTTTATAGGAAGTTTGTCCGAACCTAGTTTAATATAAACTATATTTAATCCTTCATATTAAATAGGGGAAATTGTCGACAAATAAAACGGTTTCGCAGACCAAACAGACGTCATATATTTCTCAATTTATTTGTTTGAGTCTCATCCTCAAGTTTTATGTTTATCCTTCGGAATAGATATAGGGTTTGAGGTACAGTGTTCTTTCATTTAAATTATGAAAAATATGGGGTTAGTTGGATTTCATATTTTTCTAAACTATATATATATATATATATATATATATGTAAATTAAAACGTCCATCCGAAGCAGGCGACAGGATTTTGATTCCGGCGACCGACAGCTTCTTACGGGCAACTCCTCAACCAAAATAGTGCCGACAGGTACTATAGTTGGTAATCCTTCTGCTGCAGCTCTACCACCTCATCAGACTAATTCTTCGGATGAGAAATGACAGGATTACACTTCCAGGAGGAAGAAGAAGAATGGAGATCTACTTGAACTCAGGAGTCTTATGGATGATACTTCGATTACTTTTGGTAATGGTACGCACCTTACCACCTTACCAATTTGTTAGCTGGATCCCTTCCGAGAACTAAAGCCAGAGACAGGACCAGATTGTGATGACCTTAACTTTTTTTAGCGCCCTAGTGGTTTTGGGTTTTTTTTATTTTTATATGTACCCTTTTTGACTTTTTTGTGTGTTTTGTACCGTATGGGTTAGGTGTCTATTTTTTGGGCCCACCCATACAACTTATCTGTATCTTTTCTCTTTAATGAATTAGCCCTTGGGCCCTTTTTTTTAAATATAAGAGTTGAGCACCTTATAGTGGGAATATGTAAAAAAAATGGTCTATCATAAAATATAAACTGCTTCCTACATAGTCTGCCTGAGGGGATTATTGGATTAAACTCACCTAATTTAGGTAATTATAAATCCTGTTTTTAAGCTAGAAGAAAAATGGGTAAAGAGACAATAAAATACAGAAGGTAATGTTTTGCCTTAAGTACATCAATGTAACCCTCCAAGCAGTCAAAAAAATTCAGATCTGTGAAAAGCAGAGGAACTTCTCAATTGCGGAACGGTAGAAGTTAGTATGGTTTACACGTAAACATACACGATAGGAGTAGAAATTAGAATAGAGTATTGCATTTGGACAGCATTGTAAAATTAGGAGGGAAGCTATTGGTTAACGCACTTGTTTTATTTTTGTTTAAATATTTTAAGCTACTTCAGCATATCTTCTTATTTTTTATTTTAGAAAAACTTTATGATTGTTAAATGTTTTCTGTGCCTTGTCTAAATCAATGTGATTGCAAATAATCATTTTACTTGATATAATATCTTTTAAGTACTTGTTATTGATGTAATGATATCAAGTAGAATTAAAAAATAACAGTCGTAAGGCCTTATAATTGATATTCTTGTTGCAGCACATATACCTTTGTATTTGTACCCTTTCTTAAATACAACCAGCAAAACCAGGCCATTCGAGTATCTAAGGCTGACCAGCTTGGGAGTAATCGGGGCGCTTGTGAAGGTAACTTGTTTGAATAATAAGTGTGTTAATGCATACAGCTAGTACCTTTGATTTTCTTGAATAACATATTAGTCTTTCTTATTGTATCTTTTTGTCTTATTATTCACCTAGAATTTTTCATATTTAAGAATTTTTCATATTTAAGGATGATATATATATATATATACTAGTTGTTTGTAGTCACAGTCGCATAAATTGAATGGCTAGGATGACATCGCATTTATGTTACCAGTTTGTGCATGACATTCTTATGATCATATTGGTATTTATTATTAGTTTGTAAGTATTATTGCTTGTAGCAAACCTTTCGTTCTAAGATTATTATTATTTAGTTATTGTGATTACTATCTCATTCCTTTGTGCTTTTGAGTTTTTTTTTCAGTTTAATTATTTTTTATTTTTGTTCTTTTGTAGGTTGATGATCCTGAGGTTATCAGCTTTCTTCTTCAAACCGAAATAATTCCGTTGTGCCTACGAACTATGGAAATGGGCAGCGAGCTTTCAAAAACAGTGTGTATTAGCTAATTTCATTTCCCATCTCTAAAATTGTGACCCTTTAGCTACCATTATTACCAGGACATCATGCATTTTCTCATGATAGTTTCTAGCATAATTGCATTGGCATCCTTTTATGCTTGTATATCACCAAGTAATAGTACCGCTTAGCGAAGATATCTAAGTGCCCAAATCCATAAATTCCATGTTGCCATTCCTAAAATTTAGTTGATTGTTTATTGTTTTATACTTGATCCTTTGGAATCTTATATTTCAGTTGGTGGCTTAAAATACTAGAGAATCTCGAGTTTCTATTTCAACTAAATAATGCAATAATTAAAACTAATACCAATCAATTTTAAAATTTGCAGTTTCAATGAACACCGATTAAAATTTAAACTCTTCTTTTTCTATGTATACCAAACATTATAAAAATTCGCGCCCAACAATGATTTATTGATCCTGTAACTAAAGAAATTTGACAATAAAGTAGAAACCATAAAAACATAAACAATTAAGTAGGATGCACAACACCAAAAGAAAGCCAATTATTACAATTTTGATTAAAATCAATCACAGTAACAAACCAACATGAAATTATGTAGATATAAAGAATAAAGAACAAAAAGGTCAGAAACATAAATTCAAGCATAACATTAATACCAGGAGAGAATTCCTCTGGAATTGATAGCTGCACTTGTATCACGCTCAAAGGAATCAACATGCAAACGAACACGGTAAATAAAATAGAACATGGAATTTTATTAAGCCAAATAGTTCCCTAATGCATGTCTCATCTTTTATATATATTATTATCAATTTCAGTACTGCATTTCTTGATGTTGATTCTACTTGAAATATTGGATTAATTTTAACTTTAATTAAAAACATAACAAAATAAACATAAGATTTTGGTAGGGGCTTCTTAGGAGTAAGCATCTTAGCAGCTGAGAGCATAATGAGAAGCTCAAATTGGATCAAACTAACACACCATGAGTCCGATGAAAGCGTCGTAAACCATTGTAGTTCAAAGACTGTTACTTATTTAAGGAGTAGACGTGGATGATCTTATGGGTAACTAAACTTTGACTTATTTTTCCTTGAAGCAAAGTTTATTATATCCCAAGATGGATGCCCTTTTTTGTATGCTAAGGGTTATCCAAGGTACTCGTTAGATTTTTTGGGTAGTTTTACGATGTTGCTGTAATCATTTTAGTAAATTGTAAATATTGCTGTAATCACTATAGTGATTACGATATATTTGATGTAATGGGAACAATATGAAGGCAATGAAAATCTTTAAGAAGCCTCTTCCACTTTATTCTTCCTCTACTTAAGTATCTTTGTAGTTCTACTCGAAACCATCCAGTCCTTGATCTCTTTGCCTTTCAAAGCCTCCTGCAAACTCACAAATAGTTGTTAATCCATGTTATTTTGGTGTTCTTTTTTATTCCTTCCTTGATTATCCACTGCACAACATGGATGATGGTACTCACGCATCATAGATTGGTGAACAAATAGCAGCAGTGGAGGAATAGCTTGCTAAAGCAATCCACATTCTATGTAAGGTCTAGCTTAGCCCTTCCTTGTTAGAAATTAAGCATATCTAGCTCAGCCCTCACCATGACACTTGCAATAACTCTTCTATTACTCCATCAAGCATGCAGAAAACCGTGGGAGAAACCCCATTCAATCAATATGGGTTACAATGCCGTGATACATCAATAGTAACCCAAAATAGGGGTCCACGAAATTAAACGTTACTACTGTTGGCACAACCTTTTCAGTGCAGATAAACTTACTCTTACATACTTCCATATGTATAGACCATCCGAAGAATGGTACCTTGAATTCACTAAAATCTGAACTTCATGGGCAGATTTTTTCGTCACACTTCCAACTTATTACGGACCTTCAAAATATGGCATTCTATAAGGATAGCTTTCCAAATTGCTACAAACCCCCACTATCATATGCTATCATCTTTTGTTTGAAACATTATCCAATAAATTGTGGGAATAGATGAATCTCTTTTGCGAATATATTTTACATCCGGTTTTCATAGTGATGTGTCTTCATTGCACACCTCTGAATTAGCCAATTGCGCTTAACTAACTTATTAAAGCTAAATCTATTGATGAAAACAACTTTTTAACCCTTCCCAATTTTTTACCTTGCCCACTAAAATCACCACTATCTATAAAATAACTCTTGCTAATAGAAGTTATTGTGGAATGAGAGAGACTTTTCTTACAATTGTGTCGAAGGCTTCCTTCACAATCATGTTGTAAGAGTAAACTTTTGAGTCCTGTTGAGCGAGCCAAATTGCCTTCCTGAAACTAAGGCTGGCCAGTCATTCCCCCGACTTTGAGCTCTGCTCAACTGCCAATGTTTTTTTGTCTTGTTTGGTTATTGGGTGTACAAGTGCTTTATGCTTATGCCGCTAAGATAGGTCTTGTTATTGACCTCCACCGATTCATTTTATGATCCAATCTCTTGTAGAATAATACCAAAAGCTTTTTGAGGAACCCTACACACTCACCTATATGCCCATATGGCCACAAAATCTAGCTAAAATAAGGAACAACAGCTATTAATTTTGACCATATCAGTACACCTACTGCTAATAATCAACTATATAAACGAAATGTTGACCTATGGTGTCATTCTAACAACCACCAGCGCATGCTTCTCTCCAGTCTTGCTTATTAAAAAAAGGTTGCAACGTGAAGTTTTTTGTGTTGACTACCACGCATTAAACCAGCCTACAATTCCTAACAATTTTGTATAACTATAATCGGCAAGATATTGGATGAACTGCAAGGCACAATTATTTTTTCCAAGTTGTATCTTTGTGCCGGCCATTACCAAATATGAATTGCCAACATCCATAATTTTGCCTTCCGCATACACTAAGACCATTATAAATTCATATTGATGCCATTCTGTCTCATCAACGCACCCTCCACCTTTTTAGAGCATTATGAGTTCTATTTTATGATCGTTTTTAGGGAAATTTGTAATTTTTTATTTTATAATATTTTGGTGTACTGTAAAATATTACAAGCCTATATTTTACATTTTCAAACTATCTTTTTATTTCCTCCTTTCAAACGTTTTTCATCTCCGCTATTCGAAGTGTTTGTTTGGCCACAATAATGTTGACAACCTTTGGCATTTAATCTTTTTTCATTATGTATTTTCCAACTAAGACAAGATTCAAAGCCATATGACATGGCCAGTACCCACTATGGTTAAAGCCCTTTTGTGGGTTTCCTATTCTCACAAGCTAATATTGTTACTCTGTTCAAAACTTGACAGCCATCACTGAAATTCTCATTTTCTTACTGTAGTTCAATTCATTTCTCTCTACTTGTATGAGTGAAATGACATTTGAACACTTTCCCCATTGTTTTGCCTTATCGAATCCACCTTTCCATTCATCGTACTCACAAACGCATCGGTATTGACATCAACATCGCTCTCAGCCAATATGGTAAACTTATTGCATTTTACAATATGAAACATATGATTTATGAATTAAATTTCTTCTATCATTATTATTGTTGTTGTTGTTGTTGTTGTTGTTATTGTTGTTATATTTTTATTATTAGTATTTTATTTGTTTCTTATTATACATTGATTTTATATTATTAATCTTAAATTATAAATTAAACTTTTATAATTTTATTATTTCCAAATTTTATCTCATTATTAGAATTTGGAAATTAATAAAATTTTCAAAAAAAAAAAACTTTCCTAATTTCATTAACGTTAATCATAAGACATTATTTAAAATTTTATCTTCTTAATTAAATTTCAAGATATATGAAATATACATATATTTTAGATGTCAATTATTCTTTATTAATAAATTTCCATTATTATGGCATATCAACATAATAAAAAGTGTTCTGCTTCACCGAATTCCTTCTTCTGAAAATCTGTGTGCTCATCACTGATCATTGTTCAATCCCACACATAAAGATTTTTCACTCCCACCCTCCTGTACGCAAGGCTGCCATAGATTTCTTTCCCGTCATCCCCTGCTCCAATGAGACCAGATCGTGAGTTCGCTCTATTTCTACTCCAACTGCACAACTTTGCTAGCTTCGGCGTTGCCTGCACGGCTGCTTGCGTGGTGTTCTGTTTCTTCTCTCTGCCCAGTCTTTTTCGACACTCAAATCATGCATGAGCTGCTCACACCTTTGTCGTTGCCTTCATATGTGTAAATTGTGCCCCCTAGGTATGCTTGCGTTCACGATCGGAGTCGGCATCACCCTCATCTCAAATGACTTCATTCAACGGCATCACCTCGTGTACCGCTCCTCTCCTTCGCACGCCTTATTATTTTTCTTCTCAGGATGTTGAAATTGTTCAGTTCAAAACAAGGGTTTTGTTCCTTAAAATGATGATTCACATACTTCATCCCCCGTCTTGTCACGCCTGTGTTACTCAAATTAAACTCAGTGTTACATGCTCTCCTATCTTCTTGATAATACATGAACTATCGTTTCAGTTCTCTAAACTTAATTATCCTCTCCATCTCATCTCCAATTTTATTTCAGCTAAACTAAATTTGATTGTAGCTTTAAAACAAAATTAGTTGCAACCTAGTTGCTCACCCAGCTTACACTTTGAAAGATGGCCTAATCCCGAAACATGGTTTAGTGGTATTTGCTTCTAACTCAGTCATCAAAATTGATCTCATCAATTAATAGCACAACAGTGTAGTTAGTGGTCAGAGAGGAATCCACAGAACTTTGCACCTTCTATGCGAATATATCCTATGGTGACACATAAAATCAATGTCTACCAGTTTTTACAAAGATAATTGACTTGTCAGGCCACCAAATGCCAACCTTTGGCGTCAATGGGCTTGCTTCAGGCAAAAGCTTGGGAAGATGTTATAATGTAATTATGTACTTATGTACTACCAATCTACCACCACGGTAGTAGTTGGTCATTTCATGAAGTAGACTCATTTCAGGTCTTTGCCTCCCTTCTTCAATGCC